ATGTTTTTTATTTTGACCTTTTCATAGGATAAAACGTTTGGTAAGCTAGCATTCCGTGCCCGACATTGTTCATCCGAAGAAAATCCAAACAAGGTCACTTTTTGTGCACTTTTCAGACTGTCATAGCCAGTTTTGCATCCACCGACTGAGCATTTTCTTCCCATTGTTGCTCCTACTCCTTCAGTTTATTTCATAGGTGTCCGTCATAGACCAAAAAAGTCATAACCACACCTGATGAAGGCAATAAATAGGCCTAGAAGAGAAGCACTAGCACAGTGAAAGAACAGCACATATCTACAATGCAGGCTTTGAAAAACACAAGGGAGCTCCCTCCGTAACCGTATACTTTTCACTACCTGACAAGGGTAGGCGCTCAGTAGTCAGAGTCTAGATCTAAATCTATGTCTATATGGTCCTTTTTTTAGCCTATTGTTTGTGTTACTAGATCTAGATGTAGATCTAGGTTAGGATGGAAAGTTAGTTTCTGGTGGTTGTTTGCATAGGCTAAGTCAGTGAAGAGTGTGTGGATCAGGAGGGGGACCTCCACTGTGTAGGTCTGAAGTCTTTTAGTTTTAGACAAGAATCTGAATCTAATTTGCACGGTCAAAACTTTTGTGGCAACTTTTGGACAAAAAAATTCCAACAAACGCAGATGCTAGACTAACCTACTGCTACATGGGATGTGTCAGCCCACACGGAATCTAGGTCAGTCGTGCGCACATGGCCTGTTTTATGACCACCTAGACCATGACACATCAGTTACTGAGTTAGGTCTGCTAGCACTGTTGGCAGGAAGAAATATTTCCCATTGTTAGGGCTCTTGCACTGCACTGCTGGCAGGAGCAGTTATTTCACTGGGTTCGACTTTTTTCATTGTCATGGGTTCGTTTTTTTAGGAAATATGTTGAGTCACACTGTCTATTGTATAGCAAACAAACTTTTGGAAGCCTCTGTTTTGCTGAAACGTCTCATGGGCACACTTTTCTGAATCGATCCAATGATACTACAATAATATGAAGGCCATTCGAACAGTAGATTGACAAGCATGTATGAATAGCTATTAAAAGCTAAAATTTAATTATGAATGTTATTGTCTTTAAACTGAGCATTGATCATTGTTTTGAACATTTGGGGAGAAAATTCATGATGATTATATTGCCATATCGACCCGACTAAAACCCAGTTTTAGTAGCCGACACTCGTATTAAATAATTCAAGCATTATAAAAATTATTGTCACTAGAATTGATTAAATTTGTTTAAAATCTAATGTTTATGGTTTGTGTTGTGATTGTCTGTATATATTTTCTTTGTTCTCAGTCCAAAATATGGCACTTCTACACACTTTGTTGTGCAATAACCTTGTTACTCTGTTGTCACACCGGTCATGAATAAACATCCGCTCACACGCTCTTTATGTCCTATCAAACATCTATCGTCCTTCCTCTCCCCCTCCTTTTCTTTCTGTGTTACTCTCTGGTTACACCTCTAATCTTTGATTATATATGACCTATTTGTGTTGCAAGTGCTGTACGGTTCTATCGTACTGAAATATTTAAAAACAAATAAAGTTTACCAATGCAAGTGCGTTGTCACCTGTACTGTGGGTACTGTCACACTGACTTATTGTCCATGCGGCAGTGAATTAATAATATTTATAGGCGCTAAAACACTCACATACTGACAAGATCTTTTGCTGTCTGTGGCCAGGTACCCATTCAAATCTGGGTGAAGTGAGGAAAATTTGTTAAAAGTGTCATTCCCATGGACACTACATCATGCCTGAGGCTTGAACCCGCAACCCCACGATTACAAGTCTGGTAGCCTAACCATTAGACTACCAGTGCCCGGTGTTTTTTCTTACTGGGAGCTGCAAGGCTCAGACTCTGTTGAATATTTAACTCTATGAGGAGTCGTGACACTGTCACCAATAGTCACCAATAGAGTGTGCATCTGGTCACTGCTCATGGCAATTTGACCAACCTATACACAGATTTTACTACATCAAAACTAATAAGTCTTGTTTCCAATCAAATGCTTATGTGTTCTTTTTTCTGTTAAAATCCTAAGGTAAACTTTTGTTGCGACTTAACCAGCAACTCAAACATAGCATCCTACAATGGAGTCCACTTAAACCAAACACAGTTAATTAAAAAACAGCAGTAAACTGAAAGAAAATAAATCCCTTTTTTTTCCCATTTTAGCAACCGACTCCAAACCATGGCTGAATGGAAGAAAATCCAGTGGTCTTGCAAATTTCAGTCTGAGCTTCAAACTTGACACGAGCATTAGTTTGTGAATGAAAGATCTGAAGTTTAGTACAACCAAAGACAGTACATAACAAGATGGTCCACTCAGCCAAAAAAGTGTCCACGGAATCCGCTCATTGCTTCAGATGGCGCTGCAGTCTTTATTTGGAAGTTCTCTTTCATTTCTCTAGAAGAAGAATAGGAATAGCACCCCTTTACGTGCACAGATTGACTGCTGTTCATTAGCTGTTCGGGTTCGTTCAGTGTGGAGTTTTAGGTGGTTTTTATTTTAATGACCTCTCGCCTTTCATTCCAAAGTCAAATTAAACGAAGAAAACAGTCGCCCCTTCCACCGGAAGAGGTTTTTTGTCAGCGTAACCCTTTTAAAAAAGCGTTCCTCAGAAATTTTAATTCTAATTTATTCAAAAACTTGTCAGTTTCACTTTGATTTTTTTTTTCACAAGTAGGGTAACTCTACGAAGTCCACGGATTTGCGAAGAGGGCGCCACCAAATTTTGAGGACACTTTTTTAATTGGCGCAAAGAGAGGAGTGAACCATCTCTTTAAGTACGGTCATTGGTCAAAGTAAGAAGTGTATGGGTTAAATTCTCCTGTTAACACTCTTAGGTTTGAGAGGTGGAACCTCCAAATTTAACCAGAAAGCTTGAGATTAAGAGCCTTAAAAACTCCACAAAACAACTCAAGTTATAAAATACACAGTGGGATTTGAACGAGGGCCATCCACTCTTTAGTCCAGCATTACACCATTGGACTTAACGGAGCCCCCAAGAAATGTTACAGTTACTGCAGCAAAAACGTTAAGAGAGAGTAAAAGAAAACACTATAAAAACAAAATGGAGTTTTGTGCACAATACTGGGGCATGTTTTTATTATGAATGACGAAGCACACAGTACCAGTACTGAAAGGGTCAAGTGCTTTGTGCTATATGCCAAAGTATATTTCCTTCTTACACTAACAGAAGAAAAAAAAAAAGGTCACCAACTGTACAAACAAAATAATTCCTACCAAAAGAAGACATAAAATCAAAATATTCAAGCTGTCTAGTGTCTTGGACAAACATCAAATTATTGAAGTTCATGCCCTAAGGCTAAGACACATGTGAGAGTCAGAGTGGTGCAAGAACTTTGAGTTCAGGACAACACTCGGCGAATTTTTTCAAGTAAGGAAGAATATCAGTCAAGACAAAACACACCCTGACATGTTTTGAACATTCTGTGTAGATTTTCTCTTGATATTATTTTTTAATACATAAATTAGAACAAAAGAATAATTGCACCAGATCAAACCAAGACAGGAAAGACTGGTAGTCAAGTGAATGTAGACAAAAAAAACAACAAACAAGGAAATAAAGACAAAATGAGTTTGGAGCTCTTTTCAAGACTGATGACAGCACTGCTTCTACATTGTTGCAAATCTTTGCTGTTCCTGTTACACAAAACGTTTTAAAATCTTTTTCCATAGTAAAACACAACAATGCTGGTAAAAAGATTCTCATGTCCATTTTTTACATGTTTATTTAGCGAAAAATATAATCAGCATCAAAGGCAAGAATTTTCTTCAACTTATTTGGCATAAACTAAAGACTATAAAATAAACGTAACTTCAGTCCTAACTCTTAACACTTAGGCTGATGTTCCGCTTGTATAGAACTTTTGCTGTCGTACCTGTTGGTTGCTACATTTGTAATTGATATTGCTGAGGAAAAGTCATTACAGTTACAAAGTTAGCAAATTTTTGGAAGATCTAAATTTAAGTGCTTTCCTTTTGCTCACTAATGCTTGTTTTGTTTTTTTAATGAATTTTTAAAGAATTATGTTTGGTCCAGATTCTCGTGTGATCGTGAACTGTACAGCTCTTCCACAATGGCTTGTGATGGAATAAAAATAAATCTAGTCATTCTTCTTTATAACTGAAAGGGACCATATTCAACATAACACCATTTTTAAGCCAAGAAAACAGAAAGCATATAAGTTATATATATATATATATATATATATAACTAAAAAAGCAGGAAATCCTATCTATAATTTTATCATTGTAAAGCAAAGGAGTGAAACTTAAAAAAAACCCACAAAAAAAACACACAATGGCAACAACAACAAAAAGAGGATACGGGCTATGTGTGATCAACCATCTAATTGCTGGGTCGGTAATGTTGGACAATAACTTAACATGAGCTCAGTAACCAAAGTGTTGAAAGTGGCGAAGCGCACTAGATTGTAGGGTTTCCAGACATTCACTAACTGGGTATTAAACTAGAGTCAAAAAAGCTTCAGTCAAAACCTTAAAAATTCCAATGAGCTATAACCAGGAACCAGTACACGTAATCATTGGGCTCATAAACTTAAGTAACATTCAACCCTGCAAAATGATAACGCTACATCCATCATAACATCAGCAGAATTCATTTGTTACAATATACCGTCGGCCAGCTGTTAGAATGTAGCCCATTACGCCCAAATTTGTTTTATTTTTTTTTTTTAATTGCAGTTTCTTAATCTGTGGTGTGAATCGTTTGCAAAAGTTCAAGAAATATTTTGTCTAAATTTAGACTATATATTGAAAAAAAAAAGCAAGAATACATATAATTTATATAATTGTAGGAACAATTGTTAAAATATCAAATGAAACAATTTTTTCTCTCTTCTTTAAGTTTCCTTCAAGCAGTTGTGAGTGTTGTAAAAACTTGACCCAAAACAAAAAAATAATTTTTGCTTTTTGGGCTAAGTACATTCGAACAGCTCGCTGACGACGTTACGAGAAGCTCGGCACAAGAGCAGATCACGAGAGCTTGAGCTGAGCAAACTCTAAGGCAGTTTTGAGGGCGTCACTGAGAGCGCCGGTGTTGGTACCAGTGGCTTGAGCGGACAGTTCCTTCCCTCCTCCTTTCCCGGCAATCAGAGGCACGACCGAGTCCACCCAGGCTTTTGCGTTGAGGCCGGTTGAGACAGTCTCCTGAGAAGAATAAGACCCAAAAAAAATTTTTTTTTAATGTATGGTATTGGTATGTGTGTTTGTATTCACGCAACAACTTGGATGTATGCAGTCAAGTACGTAAAAGAACAAAAAGGTTTTTAGGTCCCAATTGTTTAATTTTTTAAAAGCACGCATGCATTTCCTTTACATATTAAAACGAACACATAATGAAAATTATCTATTAAAAGAAAAATATTTCTACGTCCCTCTAATCTCGCTATGTGCGTGCAAGATTGCATTTCCTCTTAAAACAATTTCCAAGCTTATAATGAAAAGACTTTTGCCAGGTTACAAAACATTTTCTTAGCCAAGTCTTAATCATTGTAGTCTGTGTTTTGTACTGAGAGTGGTCGTTTTGTTAAGACAATTGGAGTACAATGAATTTGCAGCTTTAAGTATAGTGAATAATAGAGAAAAATCAGGACCAAATCCAATTTCATAAACCCTTGTTTCCTAGGAAAAGAATGTAATAATTTTGCTTTAACCATCAAATCACGTGTATGTCATTATGTCACTGACAGATCTGCAGAGACAAACAGGCACTTACCTTGGGCACACAGCTCATGCACAGAATTTTGCCTGCATCTTGGTCCACTGAGAAAAACATGGCGGAGGTCTGGGGGCTGAGGGACTTGTACTGTTTCATAGCAGCATCCAAAGCCTGCAGAAGTGACAATGAAACATACGCAATTTATAATCATTATTATCATCAAGTGCCAGATCTGCAACAGAAACTGGCGATCACAGTTTGCTATTCATTCCTTTGCTTGGAGGCTCTTAAAAAAGCTATACTATACTGATCTTTCCCCATCAAAAAGCATACAATACAGCAGAGTCCATTTATAACGAGTCCTGAAATAAGACACTTTTCAAAATCCACGTTTTTTCCCCTTCATCTTTGTAAATAAAATACTACTGTAGCGCAATCTGACAAACATGCGAGTCGGTTATAGCGGACGCAAAACCTCGCCAGTAGAGAAATTGTTCGTGATCTAGCAAAACAAAAAATGGGAGAGCCAACATGTGCTAACAATGAAGGCTGGAACGAAAGAGTGGGGAGGGAGTGGCATGCGCAGACAAGCAAAACGCATCGCGTGATAGGCCAGCTTAGTCTATATTATCTAGGCCTATCATGCCTCTAACTTCTCCGATGTGGGGATGGAGAGGTCGCAGTGCTGTGACGAATGGAGCGAATGTGTGACGTGCGCAAGCAGACGGAACGCACCACAGAATGGGGTGGGGGACAACACAGCGAATGAATTAGCCTAGGGAACTTTCTGATCACCAACACCAAGCTGTCAACATCGCTAGCGCTAGAGCAATATCCCTGATTCCTTTTTTTATTTGATCAAGTAAGACCAAGACAATGTCGAACCAAATCATCATCAGGGGAGATAACAAAAAGAGATAAACAGAACACCACTCATAGATTAGACCTTCTTTATTATTTTCCTTGAATTTATTACTGGATCCCTTATAACAAGAATCCTGCTATAACGGACATTTTGCACTAGTCTCTTCCCTCTCGTTATACAGGAATCCACTGTATAAAGAATCCGCCATGTGGTTAGAAAAAATTGCCAATTTTCCATTTTTTTATGTTGGTGCTGTGAACACCTATCTATTGAAGCAGCAAAATGTTATTTTTATAGCATGACCTATTTTTAAGACTACATAGTATTACATACGGGAAAGGGAAAGTGTAAAGACTCAATAGACTAGATTATTTATGTAGTCAAAAAGTGGCACCTTCCTTTTTTGCCAGTATGCATACCTTTGCATTTGATCCAGCTTTAAACTCGTGCACAATGAACTTCTGGTTGGGGTTGGCTTCAATCATTTTCTTTGACTCTTCCGTGACCTGAAAAGCAAAGGAACATTTTGAATCTTGACACGTTTTCAAATGACCAAAACCAGACCTGCCATACAACACAACTTCAAGTGATAAATCAAGGTAAATACTGCATATATAATGCTGCATCTAATGTGGAGCAGAAAAGATGAAATTATCAACCACAAAACAAGAGAAGATCTTGTCAATTTGTTGTTTGAGCACTTAATTTGCTTCTCGGGGAGCCGAAAATGTTTCTCAATGTTCTACAATTTACTGGGGTAATAATATAGATTGTAAAGCACATACAGCTTACTGTTGAGAAGGGGTATGCATTATACAAATGCTACTTATCATTATTATTATCATTATCATTCAAACTTACACCGCTGACAACTGCGGCTTTCCTCGCTTTGTCAATGTCGTCCATCTTCTTCTTCAGACCTTTGAGCTCTCCACGAAGTGAATCTCTCATCCAGTAAGAAATACTTGACTGGGCAATCTCCTGCAGGGGGGAAAAAGCAGCTTTATGTAGATTTATAAAGAGTTTTACGGCCCTTTCAACACAAATAGGTCATATACGTGCCACAGTAAAAGATGTTACAAAAGTCAAGAGTAACTTACCCAAAAAAAGGGAGGAGATAATAAGGACAACAGATGTTTGGTAGGAAAGAAAGAGCAAACCACACAAGAGCACCCTCCAGCTACCCATGAAAACAGCTTTTTCGAAGGAATATTTGTTTTTGGGAACACAGATATGTTACTACAGAGTATAACTATAACGCTTGTCCAGAAAGGAGGTATTTGCTCGTTACTGTCTTCATCTTTATAAAAGTGTAAATGCCTTTTTTATTTGGCATTGTAAACAATGTGTTATACCCCTATTGACACAATTTAGACCACTTAAGGTTCACAAAACAGAACTTGCGTAACCCCTGCCGCGATGGTTCCCGCAAGCCCTGCGTGATCAACTTTGGAATTTTTTTTCCGCTATACAGATCACGCACGCCTTACGTGATCCGTCTCATGCCCTTGTTTGGCCAGTCCTGAGCTACTTAGACGTAGTTTAGTATCTCTGGGGCAGATAGTTTTTAAGTTACTGAAAGTGAAGGACAGTCACCCCAACAAGAGTAGAACTGATCGGAACTTGCGCTATGTTTTTTCAATACAGCTGATAGTAATTTGGAAGTCGCATCCTAGTAACGGTCGAAGAAGTCGCATGAACAAGAATCATATAATTTCGATGTTTTCGATACTTCTGTTCATTTTACTTGTTCTAGTGTCTCAGGATATGATGTGTCTGATAGTTAGGACCCTGGATATCTACCCGAACACGCTCCGAGTCGTAGTTTTAGCACTAGTACTGGTATTGTTAGCGCAACTTTGAACTTTTATTTATGTTGTTGTTGTGAATTTCATTCTATCTGTCATGTCTGGAAATTTTTCAGAAAATCAAATGCATGCCAATTTTTTGAAAAATTATACAAATTAAAGTATTAGACAAGGACAACTTTGTTTTTTTCGTATTAGATTAAGCTTGAATGTAACTTTACTGTGTCCAAAAATAATTACAGTAGGGTAATTCTGAGAGTTGTGGTGATTTATTGAAATACTCCAAAAAACGCCAGTCTTCAACGCTTGTGACTGGTGAAAGGGCCCAGATGTTTGTCAGTCACATTCAAATTCAGTCAAACGTGCTCTTATGGCCACCTGTATGAAACAATCACCTGAACAAACAGCTACTTCCCATTTCCCCTTTTACACATACAGTCGAACCTGCCTTAACGGAAACCTGTGTAAAACGGAAACCTGTCTTAACGGAATCTCCCCGCTTCCCCCTTGATATATTCCTCTTTAATTACCTGTATAAAACGGAAACCTGTCCAACGCGTAAACGGAAAGAAAAATCTGCTTCCTTCCGAGGGTTTCACCTAAGACAGAAAATGCTTTGCCCGCTCAACCCTGATTTGAAACAAAACTCACAAGTTTGGTTCCGACGGCTCTAAATTTAACGCTATGGCCATGCCGCTGGCCGAGGAAGGGGAGAAGGGGTGCAATTTGGGGGTAAATGTTACCCCATCATGTGAGCCCTGGGTGATGCAGATGGTCAGTGTAGTGTGGGTGTGAAATCTCACGACTGCACGTGAGAGTGCTCGAGTCGCGAGCCACTACAGAAACTTTCTTGGGTAGCCAGAAGCCAGAGGTGTGAAATTAGATTGACCAATGCCAGCCGAGAAAAGAGTTCCTCGAACCGTTGTTACATGATGGCAGAGAGGGGTGGCATTGGTGGGTGGGGCTAAGGGTGGAAGCAAAGGAGATGTTCAAACGTTCCTGTTTTAATAGGTCAAACAGTGGTCCTATGAAAGGCAAGCACTGGTGGTAATTGGAATATAAGACTGACGCATGTCATTATCAGAGAGGATAGCAGCTGAGAGGTGTGAAGTTTTGACCAATGCTGGTCGATCGGACAAGTGATCCTTGATCCCACCGGCTGGGCCTTTGAACCCCCCCCCCCCCCCTCATTTCCTCCAAACCTCCCCTGTCTAAGACAGAATTTTTTTCTGGCTCCCTTGCGATTCCGTTTTACACAGGTTCGACTGTATATTACATTTTACATTATAACGACACGGTGTACAACAGCGACCAGTCTAAAATAGCCACTTTTCTCCTCCACAATGGATAACCATCTAAGACAATTTCAACTTGTGATTTGTTCCCTACATACATCATCTAGGGAGATAATCTGCTTGTTGAGTTCCCGATCTGTGAAAGCGTTTGTCTTCGGGTTGTCCTCCACCTTCGTCTTCAGCTCCTGCACATTTCTGGAGAGAACCTCTTGTCTGTGAACAGCCTTGAAAAAAAAAGAAGCAAAGTACGAGTCAGTTTAGTGTTTAGTCTTAGAAAGAATTTTACTGCATTTGCAACACAAATAGGTCACATAAGTGCCAAGGATTAGAGAGTAGCGTACAAATAAGAGAAGGTGGCAAACCACCCCGGAGCACCCGCCACTAAATCTTTTCATAATGTAAAAATTTCACTATGTGCGTATTTTAGATACAAAGAAAACACAATGTATAAGAAAGATTAGAGGACCTGAAAATTGGTTCTCTGTATGCATGTTTCGCTCTATGTGTGCCCTGGAAACTATAAAAACTCATTAAAACATATCTTGACTTCTGTGCAAAAGAGATTTTAAAAATGTTTAATCCAGTTTAAGACCAATAGTTTTAATTTGATAGCAACAACTCCATTTATGCCCAAAAACTGACGAGCGTCTGATTGCCCCACGATGCCACAAATAAGATAAGAAAAAATAAGATATAGCCTACTTTATCATCCTAGAGGGAAATTTTTCTTGGCTGCACAGGACCATAAAAACAAAAGTAGGTATACATAAAAAATTTTAATTATATATTACTCTCATTAAAATTCAATAAATGAAAAGAGAAGTAAGGCTGACAAAATGTACATATTACATATGATGATTGTGCCACAATCTGTGGTTAAGTTACCTTGTGGGCTTCAACACCCGTGACAGCAATGATCCGCCTCACACCTTTAGATATAGCCTCCTCCGTCACGATAACAAACTCCCCGATGTGGCCAGCACGCTGCAAGTGGCTGGAAAAAAAACCAAGAGAACATACAATCCAACCCGCACTAACGACCACCTATATAAGATAATCACTTGTAGGCCTACATATTATGGCTACTTCCTATTACCTTCTTTCGTATTATTAATTTTATAATGACACAATGTTGAATGTAAGGTGTCCACCTGTCTAAGACAGCCACTTTTTTCCCCAATAATGGGTAGCCGTCTTAGACTATTTCAGTTGAATTACAAAATGCCCCAATGACACTTTGCTTCATACACCAGTCCCCCTTCCCCAACAACATTTTAAATTAAAAAATGAATCTAAACATTCTACTAACAGTCTGTTTAAATTGATGACTTAAGTTGTAGCTTTAGTAAGAGTTTTACAGCACTAACAAAACAAGTAGATCTTATAAACACTGAAGATTAGAGGTGTTACTAGAAAGGAAAATGCATACAAAGAAAAAACGGAGGAGAGAAAGGGACAATAGATATTTGACAAAAAGAAGGAGCAAACCACCCCAGAGGACCCACAAAACACGCATTTCCCATGACTAAACTGGGCCACATAGGCATTGGTGTATAGTGCTGACATCGTAGTTTTCTGCATGGAAAATTTCAAAATTCTGCAAGGACTGCGACCATGTCTAAACGTCTTTTTCCATACTGCTTTTCAACAAGTCGAGATACCTTCGAAGTGTCGGAATCGGCTCTAATACTGAAACTACTAACCCAAAAATTTCATTTCGGTATCAAATGGCAGAAGAAACATTTTGCAATAACTATATAAAACAAAATCTCGGCCCCAGAGTCTCATTAAGGCTGTCCCCGTAGAATTATGCAAATTTAGAAGGCAAAATTATGCACAAAAAAAGCAAAATTATGCAAGTTACCGTAACACCATTCGCGACATGTT